CCAGTTTCCTCATAGCTGAGACCACCGCCGTTCGCCCCGCCGTTCCCTGTCGTCAGTGAAGCAGCCCATCCGCTGCTTACAAAATGCTGAAATCTGCCCCATTAAAACCCCTTTTTACTACCAAGCCCTACGGCGCACCGCAAACGAGGCTCAACAAATGCGGGCGTCCTCCAAAAACACCCCCCGCCAACACTCCTCCAGCCCTTCGGTCTCATACGGAGGGCGATGATACTGATGGTAAGTTCCTACATATGTTCATGTACAATTAAACTGACATTGCTTTCTGACTCACAGCTGGGAACGACGTCAGGAGCTACAATGTTGTGATGCCTCTATCTGCGCCATCAAACCGCCCTTCACTACCAAGCCTTACAGCGCACCACAAACGAAGGTCGACAAACGCGGACGTCCTCCTGAATCACCCCCCACCAACACTCCTCTTGCCCTTCAGTCTCATCCGGAGGGCGATGTCCCCCAATATTCTGTTGGTCCCTGCAACTATGTATGCGAGAAATGCTGTGCTATTCACTGGGCCTGCGAACGTCCCGTGTATTATCTGCTGCTGTCGGCGGTACGTACGTACAGTAAGTACATGTTGTTTGCATTTTGTAATATGTCTTAAAACTTGCCCGCAAGTTGTCGAGCGGGTCTCTTCTCGTTAGTCTTTGGGCTACTGCCGTCTCCTCTTGTGTCACCTCAGACAGCGATCGATCCTCCTTTGCCGCTGCCCATCACTTCCCTGTGTCACCTTCCATATATACCTCTTCCAAGGGGCATGTTGCTTTCATCCTCGCTGCTGGTGAACATACTTGTTCTCAAAATTGCTCGTGGATGGTGGTCAATTCGAGGCCGTGGGTTTGGACCCTGCTTTGGAGCATGGTGACAGGCTGCTTGCGCCCCCCTCACTTTGTAAGTTCAAGTTCTTAAGTTCTTTGGTCTTCTGTCTTGTTGTCAACTGATCTTGGCGCGTATACAGGAGGTACAGGGATCTTCCTTTCAACCGCGCTGCCATGAAGGAGCTTCTCAACACATGGGCTCCTTCTGACACCACCTCTGGCAAATGGTCGCCTTACTATTGCAAGCTTTTTGCTGACATCCACTCCTTCCCTCCCGCTACTGTTTGTGGTGCCCAGTCCTACAAAACTGCCAGTTGTGGTCTTCAAGCCTTCAACCGAGCTGCTCAGGACCATGTTTGCTCTTTCCGCTGCATGATACGAGTCTACAATCTCCCGTTTGTCAACCTCAACTATTGTACTTGGTTCCCTGCCCTCCCTGCCAAATCTGTTTTGCATACTTTACCTGCTGTTATGCACCCTGCTCCTCTCCCTGTCCCTGGTCTTGGCTCCAATGATGGTTCAAGAGCAGACTCCAGTGTTGCATCTCCAACAGTTCGCGTTTGTCGCCCTGCCAATCGCAATGCCGCATCAGGTGTTTCAAGGGTGAGTTCTGCATTTGGGGCACTGGACTTGTCTCACGGATGAACTGACCACTGACCACTCCCCGCATCTTCTTCCACTTACACACTCCACCTCGTTGTCCGTGTTCTATATTCCCCATCGCGTCTGAACAATAACGTTATCATTGTGAGCATTACCGTCTGCATCCTCATCTACATGTATTGACACTGTTGATATAGTTCGACTCTCGAGAAGGAGAAAACAGTGATGAAGAGGGTGGGAGAGGGGATAGTGATGATGAAGCGGAGGAATCCGAGGTGGAAGGCGATAATCACTCATGTGGATGTCGATATGGGTGATGCCAAGCCTGTTCATTGTTTTTTTTTTTTTCGGTATTTTCTTCACTATGCTCTTCCTTCTGACTTGCTTCCCGTATAGTGTCTCCATCGCTTCGACGCTGCTAAATGGCCTGTCGTCCCTTCCGACAAGTGTCTAGCTGAGATCCTGAGTGTAAGGGTGATGGTACACCGCCGGTCAAACGAAATATCAGAATGACATTCACGGCCAAAACCGTGGAAATGTCCCTGCGACATCGGAGATTTTCTGTTTGGGATGTCATTCAGACATTTTTCCCCATTTTTCAAAAACATCTCACAGACATTCCGCGACCAGAATATCCCACGGACGTCTGCAGGGGCCCGAATGTCCTTGTGATATTTCTCCAAGGAGGATGAAATGTCCCTGTGATATTCTTCGGAGGATACCTTTACATACATAACCACCATATGAAGAATGCTATATATATATGGTTGCTTGTTATGGCGCTGCTTTCTAAAACGGGTTTCCCATGCATTTGGTGGGTATATGTCATGTACAAGACTTTTAGATAGATATGACTACACCCTACTGCTCCAACAAGGCCCCTCATATGTGATCATATCCTAAATGTCGTTGTCCGCATCTTTGTCCTCAGTCATGACTTCATCATTGTCATCGTCCAATTCTACTTCTCCTCCCCTCCCCTCAACTTTGACTTCTGTTTGCTGGACAAGGCTTCCTTCCTCGTCCGACGAGTACTCACCTTCAGACAAACCATCAGAAACAGAATCGTCAGCTCCTATTCTTTTCCTTTTTATAGACCGGCCAGATCGAGTCGTCATATAGACAGGGAACCCTTCTCTCCTGGCTAAGGGCGGTGCCGCGGAAGGCCTGCTCTCCATGACAGTATCCTGAGTTGTTGCTTGTAACTCCTCACGGCTTTCACCTCTCCCACGGCCACCTTCTTGCCTACGCCCTCGTTCTCGTCCTCGTCCTCTGATGGCGCCACAGCCACCTTGGCCTCCACGGACATTCCTTCCCCCATCACCGAAAGACCCATCTCCTTCCTCCGCATCTCCATCTCCTTCCTCTTCCTCTCCATCTCCCAAGGCATTAATATTCTTGAGTGCTTCCCCCCTGACGCAGCGCACAGCCAATGGGTCTTCGAGCAAGCGGCGAGGTCGGCAGAGGTCGCGTGGAAGGGCAGACCGAAGAACATCGACATTGTGAAAGGCGGATAAGTTGATAACAAAGCAGTCGTCGTTAAGATGGCGCACAGTCCGAGGAAATCCGTCGAGTGCGGGCAGAAGACACATCTTCAAAGACGATTAGAGTGATGATATGAGACAATCTGGTCCAGAACTCACCGTCTTAGATTTCCAAGGCGCCCATTTGCTCTTTCTACTGACCGATGGGAGTTGCGATCGGCTGTGTTTGTTCCATCTTGCAGCTACACAAGGTCAGCTCGAGTCCCAGAAACAGGAAAGACGCTCATGATGTCTGCTATCTTCCACGGGATCGAAGCCCTCCATAATCTCTCGCTCAATATCTTCATCTTCACATTGTTGCCGCAAGTGTGCGACATGGGCTTCATGCTCCTCGATTGTTATTGTTAAGAGAGTATCTTCGAATACCGGTTCATCGTCCGTATATGGGACAGGCTCCTGTTGAAACACTCGCTGCCACAACCGCAATTGTCTTTCGGTCTTTCGGCCTTTTGTGTGTGTGTTGTTGTTGTCCCTTTTGCTCCTTGTCCCATCCGCTCTTTCTCTATTGTCCCCGGCATAGAACAATGCGCCAGAATGAACAAATGAAACTCTTCGACCCACTCGACGTGAGAACAATAGATAACCCCAGTCGCCGGAGGCTGCCCACATTGTTCCGAGCGCATATATAAGCTGTAAGTCCTGTCTCTTTTCTGACAATATCACCACCTTTGCTCACTTCAACTACCCCAGATCACACTCGCCATGTCCAACGTCTTCACCGCTACCGACCCCTTTGCTGATGACTATGACTTGGATCCCTTGAGCAATAATGAGCAGACCAATACCCCTGCCACTCCTCCACGACGCAGCCCCAGAAGGCATCAGGGATCATCCAATGTGTCTGTTCTCGGAACCTCCAGCGGCCAACAAGGCGATGTGTTCGATTACACCAGCGTTCTACGAACACACAAGACCTACCAATCTCTGGACGAAGACAGACAGGATCAGATCAAGAAGTTCTGCCAGGTATCTATTAGTGAGTTCTACAAGTCTCAGACCCGCTCGACAACTCGCGGGCAAGTTTTTAGACTGATTACAAAATGCAAATTACGTGTACGTCCCGCCGATAGCAGCAGGAAAGTACATGAAGTGAGTCTGGCGGAAACATGAACAGTAAAGGCAACTGAGGTGGCAGACGGGATAGAAGGATGTATATAGTACAACAGACAAAGGCAGAGGTGACTACTTTCTTGATTTCATGGTGGGGCCCGAGGAAGATTCGACTGCAGGCTCTTTAGGGAAGGCGACGCGGACACGAAGACGGGCTGATCATCGACGAAAGCAGCCGAGTTCCCCTTCTTGCCCTGTGTACAGGTTGGGCTTCAGCTTCGGACCAGGTGCTGCGTGTCTGGGTGACGGCGTTGGTCCACCGTGCTGGGGACAGAAGGGACCATAATCGTGCTGGGGACAGAAGGGACGAAAGAGTCAGAAGTTGGAAATTGTTGGGTGCGGGTGAGCGTGGTGGGGAGTGAAAGGGTTCATTGTATGATGAGCTGGATACAGTGCATGTAGATAACGGTGAGCGAGGAATCATTCCGAGAAAGTGAGAGAGTCAGAGCGCGGAAAGAGCGACGATGGAAGCGAGAAATGCCAAAAGAAGGGGAATGATGCGCGGCGGATGATGACCTCGGCAGCTGGATACGGTGCATGTAGATGACGATCTGTTGCGAAGAGAGCGCGAAAAGAGCGACGATGAAAGCGAGAAACACCAAAAGAACAGGCATGACGCGCGGCGGATGATGAGCTCTGCAGCTGAATACAGTGCATGTGGATAACGTTGAGCGAGGAAACATGCCGAGAAAGTGAGAGAGTGAGAGCGCGAAAAGAGCAACGATGGAAGCGAGAAACGCCAAAAGAAGAGGAATGACGCTCGGGGGACCGAGGCAGTACTGGAGAACGTCGCGACGAGGGCCGTAGGGCTGGAAGATGGATGATGAAACGGCGGCAGTTTCGCGCACGGTAGGGCTTGCAGCTGAGGAGCGGCTCCCAGGCGCCGAGTTATGCGATTTGGGGAAAGTGAGAGAGTGAGAGCGCGAAAAGAACGAGGATGAAAGCGAGAAACGGAAAAAGAAGAAGCAGGATGCGCGGCGGCGATGAGCGATGGGTGGACCCTTGAACCTTAATTTCAAGTCTTCATCGAGTTCGACATGAGTGTACTATGCATGCATGGGGAAAGAACGGTATGCGGTGGAAGGCCTAGGTTTTCTGGAGTGCGTCGAGGCGACAGGTGAAGGGAGGAAAGGTTGGGGCGAGCGCTGGAAGGCAACGGAAGCAAACGCGGTGGTTCCTTGAACCTTGAGTCCAACCTCCGTCGAGTTCGACATGAGTCGACTATGCATGCATGGGTCAAAAACGGTACGGGCAGGAAGAGCTATTTTTTTGAAGGGGGGTCTAGGCGAGAGGGGAAGGGAGGCAAGGGCTGGGGTGAGCGCTGGAAGGGAACGGAAGCAAACGCGTTCGAAAATCTATTATATGTTTACAACAAGTATCAGACCCGCTCGACAACTCGCGGGCAAGTTTTTAGACTGATTACACAATGCAGATTACGTGTACGTACCGCCGATAGCAGCAGTACTCGTAAAGTACTCTACATGAAGTGAGTCTGGCGGAAACAGCAACAGTAAAGGCAGCTGAGGTCGATAAGGATGTATGTAGTACAACAGACAACGGCAGAGGCGACTACTTTCTGGATTTTTTGGTGGGCCCGAGGAAGATTCGATTGCAGGCTCTTTAGGGAAGGCGACGCGGACACGAACACGGGCTGATCATCGACGAAAGCAACCGAGTCCCCCTTCTTGCCCTGTGTACAGGTTGGGCTTCGGACCAGGTACTGGGGACAGAAGGGACCCTAATTGAAGGATGTGGTGTAAGTATTGGATGTGGGGGCAGTTGGGGCGGTGAATGGGGCGTTCAATGGCATAGTTCTATGGTGCTTGACAACGGGTGGTGGTGGAGAGTCCATCGGGTGCGGCCCTGCGGGCGGGCGAGGAGATACGGCGGTGGACGGGTTGAGAGGATTAACAGAACAGCAGATGAAGAGGACGCGGGCGGGCAGATGAGGGAAGGAGGTCGATGATGAGACCGAAGGGCAACAGTTTGGTGGGGGATGGTTTTCGAGGACGTCCGCGTTTGTTGACGTTCTTTTGTGGTGCGTCGTAGGGCTTTGTTGTAAAAAGGGGTTTTGATGGGGCAGATTTCGGCATTTTTGAGGGAAGAGCCAGGCGCGAGCGAGTGATAGAGCAAGATGATAGTAACGATGGGAGGAAGTTGAGAGGAAATTGAAAGGGAAATTGAGACTCAGGCGCGAGCGAAAGGCGGGTGGTGACCCCAGCGGCGTTGAGTGGTTGTCGGAAAGAGTCGGGAATAGGAAGTTGTTGGACGTGCGTGAACGTGGTGGGGGGAGTGAAAGGGATCATTGTGTGATGAGCTCTGCAGCTGAATACAGTGCATGTAGATAACGGTGAGGGAGGAACCATGCCGAGAAAGTGAGAGAGTGAGAGCTCGAAAAGAGCGACGATGCAAGCGAGAAACGCCAAAAGAAGAGGAATGATGCGTGGCGGATGAGGAGCTCTGCAGCTGGATACTATGCATGTAGATAACGGTGAGCGAGTGAACAATCCGAGAAAGTGAGAGTGTGAGAGCGCGAAAAGAGCGACAATGAAAGCGAGCAACACCAACAGAAGAGGAATGACGCGCGGCGGCGATGAGCGGGTGGTGGGAGGGATCATTGCATGATGAGCTCTGCAACTGGATACGGTGCACCTAGATGACGATCGGTTGCGAAGAGAGCGCGAAAAGAGCAGCGATGAAAGCGAGAAACGCCAAAAGAAGAGGAACGATGCTCGGGGGACCGAGGCAGTACTGGAGAACGTCGCGTTGAGGGCCGTAGGGCTGGAAAATGGATGATGAAACGGCGGCAGTTTCGCGCACGGTAGGGCTTACCGCCGAGGGGCGGCTTCCAGGCGCCGAGTTATGCGATTTGGGGAAAGCGAGAGTGTGAGAGCGCGAAAAGCAAGCGAAAAGAGCGAGGATCAAAGCGAGCAATGGAAAAAGAAGAGGCACGACGCGCGGCGGCGATGAGCGACGGGTGGACCCTTGGGCCTTGAACCTAATCCAAGTTTTCGTCGATTCGACATGAGTGGCCTATGCATGCATGGGAAAAGAAGGGTATGGGGAGGAAGACGAATTTTATCTCGACTTCGTGGGGGGAAAAAGTGAAGGGAGGAGAGGCTTGGACGAGTGCCAGAAGCCAACGGAAGCAAATGGCGTCCGTTGAACCTTATTTCAAGGTTCATTTCCAGTTCTCCATGATCCGACTATGCATGCATGGGTGAAAAACGGTACGGGCAGGAAGGCTAGGTTTTTTGAAGGGGGGTCTAGGCTTGAGGCGAAGGGGGGCAAGGGCTGGGGCGAGCACTGGAAGAGAACGGAAGCAAACGCGTTCGTTTGTATATTCTATGTTTCTAACAAGTATCAGACCCGCTCGACAACTCGCGGGCAAGTTATTAGACTGATTACAAAATGCGAATTACGTGTACGTACCGCCTATAGCAGCACAAAGGTACATGAAGTGAGTCTGGCGGATGGGGCAATTGAGGGCATGGTTTCATGATCGTTGGGAACGGGCGGTGGTGGAGAGTACATTGGGTGCGGGCGAGCGAGGAGATGCGGAGGTGAACGGGTTGAGAGGATTGACAGGACAGCAGATGAGGAGGACGCCGGGCAGATGAGGAAAGGAGGTCGATGTTGTACATCAAAGTCGGGAGTTTTTCTACTCGGGGGAACTCGTATCTAACACCAAAACGACGGCTGGATACTGTGCATGTAGATAATGATCTGTTGCGAAAAGAGCGCGAAAATAGCGACGATAAAAGCGAGAAGCGCCAAAAGAAGAGGAATAAGATCGCCCTCCGGATGACTGTAGATAACGGTGAGCGAGGAAAGGTTCCGAGAAAGGGAGAGTGCGAGAGCGCGAAAAGAGCTCTTTGATGGGGCAGATAGAGGAGTGTTGGTGGGGCGTGGTTTTGGAGGACGCCCGCGTCTGTTGACCTTCGTTCATGGTGCACCGTAGGGCTTGGGAGTGAAAAGGGGTTTGGATGGGGCTCAGGGAAGATGCAGGCGCGAGCAAGTGATAGAGCCAGATGATAGTAAAGATGGCGGGAGATTGAGAGGAAACGGAAAGGAAACTGAGAGCCAGAGCGCCCAGAGGCCTGGCCCGGGTATCGGAAAGGGTCGGAAGTCGGAAGTTGTTGGGTGCGGGTGAACGTGGTAAAGGGGAGTGAAAGGGATCATTGTATGATGAGTTATGCAGCTGGATACTGTGTATGTAGATGACGGTGAGCGAGGAAACGATCCGAGAAAGTGAGAGAGTGAGAGCGCGAAAAGAGCGACGATCAAAGCGAGAAACGCCAAAAAGAGGCATGATGCGCGGCGGATGATGGGCTCTGCAGCAGAGTGCAGCTGGATACTATGCATGTAGATAACGGTGATCGAGTAATAATCCGAGAAAGTGAGAGTCTGAGAGCGCGAAAAAAGCGAGGATGAAAGCGAGAAACGCCAAAAGAAGAGGAACGACGCGCGGCGGCGGTGACGGGTGGACGTGGTGGGGGGAGTGAGAGGAATTGCATGATGAGCTCTGCAGCTGGGTTTGTGCATGTAGATGACAATCTGTTGCGAAGAGAGCCCGAAAAGAGCGACGATGGAGGCGAGAAACGC